TTTTTTCAAACAGCATCTTAGAGACTCTGAAATGGATTACTTTGACTTCTTAAACTTAGCATATACTATTTTATTATCTTCATAGAGTTATAAAAAAGTATACACACACATAACACACACATGTATGTATACACACATACAAACTATAGTCAGTAGATTGGGAAAGTCATACCCATTGACTTAGGAAAACAATAATATCAATGAAATGCTATGACATTTGTGAGGGGAGTAAAAGGGAAAGAATGACATGGTTGTCATTAGAGAAACATGGTTGGAGAAGAAGACTAAAGAATGCATACAGAGGAGAGAGGAGAAACAGTTCTCCAAATAGACAGCTGAACTCCAGAAAGTACCATTAGATACAAGGAGGTCTGAGAACCCCCTCCCTATGCTCTGCCCCAGGGTTGACAAAAGGGAGACATTCTTTCTTTTCCTTTCCAGAACTAGTTTCAGCCTCCACGAATACTTTGGAAAGATAGGTTGTAGCAGTCACGAACATCCCTTAACCTGTGGTGATAAAAGGAGCATGCAAAAAGACATGACACAGCAAAGACTAGAAAAACCACCAGAAAGTGTTTAATATTGAAACCTGAGGTTGTTCCAGTTTTGTCTCTCAGTGAAAACAAAAGTGGTAGAAACAAAAGGATCTCATTAGTTGCAATAACATACAATAAAAATAGGTAAGTAAAATAATGATGAAATAATAAAGTATTAATTCTTATAAATATTAATGGGATAAGCATAAAATAACAAAAAAATTAGTTTTCTTTTTTAATTATAGAAATTTATTATTTATTCAGTTTTCCTAGATACGGATCATATAAAGTAACTACTATTGTCTATTATTTTTTATTTTTTAATTTGTTCTTTTTAGATATATATGACAGTAGAGTATATTTTGACATATTTTACATACGTGGAGTATAACTTCTTTTAATTAGGACCCCATTCTTGTAGTTGTACATGATGTGGAGTTTCACATCTATTCATATGGGAAAGAAAGTTATGTCTGATTCATTCTACTGTCTTTCCTATTCATATCCCCCTTCTCTTCCCTTCATTCCCCTTTGTCTAATCCAATGAACTTCTATTCTTCCCTCTCCTCAATTATTATGTGTCACCATCACATCCACATATTAGAGAGAATAGTCAGCCTTTAGTTTTTCAGGACTGGCTTATTTCACTTAGCATGATATTTTCCAGTTCCTTCCATTTACCAGCAAATGTCATAATTTCATTCTTCATTATGGACGAGTAATATTCCATTGTGTATATATACCACATTTTCTTTATACATTCATTTGTTGAAGGAAATTTAGGTTGGTTCCATAGCTTAGCTATTGTGAATTGAGCTGCTATAAACATTGATGTGGCTGCATCCCTGTAATATGCTGTTTTTAAGTCCTTCGGGTGGATATGTACTGAGGAATGGGGTAACTGAATAAAGTGGTGGTTCCATTCAAGTTTCTTGAGGTATCTCCATAATGCTTTCCATAGTGCTTGCACCAAATTGCATTCCAACCAACAATGTATGAGTGAACTTTCCCCCCACATCCATGCCAACATTTATTGTTACTTGTATTCTTGATAATTGCCATTCTGATTGGAGTGAGATGGAATTTCAGTGTGGTTTTAATTTGCATTTCTATAATTGCTAGAGATGTTGAACATTTTTTCATGTTTTTATTGACTGATTGTATTTCTTCTTCTATGAAGTGCCTATTCAGTTCCTTTGCCTCTTTATTGATTGGGTCTTTTTGGGGTGGCAAAGATTTTTCTCCCATTCTATAGGCTTTCTCTTCATGTTCTTGATTGTCTTCTTTGCTATCAAGAGGCTTTTTAGTCTGGTACCATCCCATTTATTGATTCTTGATTTTACTTCTTGTGCTTCAAGAGCCTTATTGAGAAAATTGGTTCCCGAGATGACATGATAAAGAATTGGGCCTACATTTTCTTCTAGTAGATTCAGGGTCTCTGGTCTAATGCCTAGGTACTTGATCCACTTTGATTTGAAATAAATCAATTTTATTACTTCATCAGATTTAATACATTAGGGATGTCACCTAGGTTTCATATATCCCTAAGAAAGAAAAATGATGCAACTAAAATATAATAAGATTAAGACATTGTTGACTATAAAGTGCATTCTGGTTTTAGAGATGTTAAAAGTGAGGAATATTAGAAGTGACAAAATTCAGCACCAAGAGAATTCTGAGCTTATAAAGTCAGCTTTTAAATGGATTATTTTTAAGACAGCATTTTTTTAATTTTTGGTATCTGTAAGAAATCTTATTGGCTAAAATCCCAAAGGTGTTACTAATGGAAATAAATTGCCTTAATTTCTCATAACATCTTGGTAAAGGTTACCATGATTATCTTACCTTATGAATGACAGCATGAAGTCACCCAGCTTCTCCTTGTATTCTAGGATATTAAAAAGACTGTAACTATGGTATGTAGGAAGAGAATCTACTGCATAAGTATGACTGCAATGGAAACTGAATGCTGCATTTCCTCTTTGGCCTGATATTTGTGTCACAGAATTGCACCGAAACTGTTATAATTGACATATGTAAAGAACCCAGAAACAGTGAGCATAATTCTTATTCAAAAGAAAAATAATATGCATAGAGTAGCAACTATATTAGGTGGAATTTGAAATTTAAGAAGATAACTCAAAGGCAGAGTTCAATTATTCCCAAAGCATGGGTTTTGCAGATAATAGAAAGGTATACAGTGGTTTATCAATGCCGTGCTGCTGTGCTACGTACTCAGCCACTGTAATGAGTGATGAGGACAGCATCAGGGACGAGACCTGCTCCAGACTGATAGCATATAACACACACTATCTTGTGGCACAGAGTGTTAACATCAATCTCTAATTGCCAAAAGGTACATATTGAAGGACAAAAATGTCTAAATGCTTATCAGAAGTTTAGGACACAATCATTCAGAAACAATGATTTGTTTTAAATGTTTGACAAAGCAATCAATTTGATTTCAAGTCTTTTGATTTAGAGGGGGCCCAGGCTTGCAGAGGCATTGAGAGGCTCTGACCTGGTATATCTGCTTGTCTTCCAGGAAAAATGGTAGATTATTCCCTTGCTGTGATAATCCTATTTTTCATTCAAATTCAATAAGCATCTTCTGTGTTCAAGAATATGTGCTAAATGCTACAGATATGAGTGTTAAAGAATAAAGATCGACTTCAAAGTGCTTAGCATTTATAGATAAAATGGACAAAAAAGCAACTGTAATACTATAATATAGACGTTTCTATCATAGGGAATTTTGAGAGTACAGTGGATGAACATCAGTGCCAGATAGAAGCCATTAAGTACTCATGTCATACTCAAACTCAATCTCTGGAAACTAATTGGACTGGTTTGGAGAAGTAGGGAACAAGGAGTGGGCATCACAAGTCAGGGGGCCTCTGTGATCGGCGAGAGGCGCAAGAGACAGGGGAGATGCAAGCACATGGTGTGGATGACACTGGCTAGTTCTCATCTTTGAGAAGTTCCTACTACATTACAAGGCAATTGTGCGTTATTCTGGAGATGCTGGAAGGCGAGCTATATAAAAAGTTTAAGCAGACATCGATATCCTCAGATTTGTCTTTCTATAGAAGTGTACTATATAGAAGTACCGAGAGTGATTTCAAAGAGGGAAGCCAGTAGTAGTGAGACCAGTGAGAGATGCTGAAGGTCAGTAAGGTCTCAGCAAATGAACACAACCCCAAATGCTACGGCACAAGTTTCAATTTTTACTGAAATAAATTTGATTTTTAAGCTCTCTTTATTCTAAAAAAACAATCAAATTTAATGTGCTGGCATCCTTTTCATCTTGGCTGCTGGTAGACTCTGTGAATGGTAGATGGTGACAGAACAGCCTACTGCCGTTTCTTTTAAGAAAAAAGGGCAAAACCAATCAAACTACTTCTGAGCTATTTGAAAATCCCTCGGTAACATTTCAATACATAATTTATTATCCTGGATTATAGGCATGGAAATAAAAATGAGAAATATGGATATACCTCCTTTGGTGTCTTTTAAAGCCTGTGAATTTGATTATTGTGTATATCAAATACCAGTTGAAAGATTTAGTAAGACTGGTTTTATCTTAATATCACTTCTACTTTTGTAAATCTTAAACTGTTTAGCAAGTAATCACCTACGATTTGGGAGAAGGGATAAATACTGATTTCTTTTCTTGTAACAATACTACCTTGAAATGAGTGGGTTCTCATGATGCCTCTAATTATATTAAATCACAATTTAATTTTATATTTAAAAGTTGTATTTTACAACAACATAATAGGAAAATATTTAAAATGTCTATGAAAAAGAAGCACTTAAGCAAATAATTGTACAACATATTTGAAGGATAGATTTTTGTGGACAGACAAGTCTTTTTTTCTTTTTTTCTAGCAAATACTTAGTATGCACCAGTTATTGTTATAAACACTTCAGAATACATTTAATTACAATAATAATCCTATGGTTTGGTTACAAAGATTTTTCCCATTTTTCAAAGGAGGAAACTGAAATATGGGAAGGCTAAGAAACTTACCCAATGTTCCACAGCTAATAATTGGCTGTGCTGATTTCAACCAAAGCTATCTGGTTTGAAGTCCCAGTTTTCATCCACTATTCTAGATGAGACCTAACTAAACTTTTTGAAAATAATGAAAAAAAAATTGACCAGTCCAATTTAGGCTTCCAATAAAAGTGTCATTTATAATAACTTTGTTCTAAAAATGACTTATTTGTTTCCACAGACTAAAAACCCACAAGCTGTTGTATGCAGTAATTTGTAAGTAACAGCTGCTCTGCTGTGTGCAACTTCCCACAAGCACACCAAAGTTAATATCAATTAGGATTAAGGAAGAAAATTATTTTGGGTGACATAACATTTGACAAGTGCTTTAATAAATAAAGCATCGTTAAATAGCTAAAATATTTTCACTTTGCTAAAACTTTTCTGTGCTAATTTTTTCAAAGGTGTGAACTGTGAATTGGAAATTGATGAATGTTGGTCCCAGCCCTGTCTAAATGGTGCAACTTGTCAGGATGCTCTGGGAGCATATTTCTGTGACTGTGCCCCTGGGTTTCTAGGGGACCACTGTGAGCTCAACTTTGATGAGTGTGCGAGTCAGCCGTGTCTCCATGGAGGGCTGTGCATGGATGGAGGAAACAGGTATGTCTGCTGCTGTAGCTGGGCGAATGGCTTAGAGAGACGGAGAACTATTGTACCACTCTGGTCAATTTGAAGATCTCATGCCCTCAGCTTAAAGATTTTACATTGCATTATACTTTCTATGATAAAAATTGTAGTATTCAGATTTTACGAAAATGTGTTTGTTGGAGGTCATTTTGTTCCTGAGCGAGGAGCTTTCAAATTCACTCGTTATAGTTTGAAATTGCTTATGCTAAGGAAAAGGAACAAATTTTCAATTCCTGGAAGTAGACCTGTCATAAATAGGGAAGATATAAAAACTAAGCTAGGAATTATTAAAAATGTAAATGTGAGATTTTATGTATATGACACAATAACTTTTAATAGCATTGCACTTAAAATCATCTTGTTTGATCTTTCAACAGAACAAGATGAATATTTATGTTCTTATATTACACAAAGAAATCTAAAGTGTATGGAAGTTAGAAGATTCACACAGAATCCAGTTTCCCTTTAGTTAGTAATAAGACATAATTTATTCCAAATCTAATTTCAAAGTAAATGACACTTGAAGGGAGAATGATATAAGACACAGGTGTTTCAAATATATTTATCAAAATAATAGGATTTCAAAAACAGTGTTGTGTTCTCAGCTATTCCTTCCTCAATCCTCCACTTATCTAGGTGTAAAAAACTCAGTTTATATAGTACTAAATTATATATATATATATATATATATATATATATATATATATATATTTATAGAAATTTAAAAATAGGGGCTCTTAACCACAAAACCAAATCTCTAGCTTTTTTTTTTTTTTTAATTTTGACACAGGGTTTCACTAAATTGCTTAGGTCCTCACTAAGTTGCTGAGGATGGCCTTGAATTTGCTATCCTCCTACCTCAGCTTCTCAAGTTTCCAGGATTATAGATAGGCACCATCATGCCCAGCTTATAATAATAAATTTTTAAAATGATCTTGCCTAAATTAAAGCCATCATCTTAATAAAGTTAGTAACCTTCCCCACTAGATTTGTATTTGTGTATTAGATATTCTCACTCAATCAATGAAATAGCAAGATTTAAATATTCTTGCAACCCGAGAGAGAGAGAGAGAGAGAGAGAGAGAATATTACAAGTCACAAAGTATTTAATGAGGACTTTTTCCTGAGTTTTTCATTATTTATTGTTTTATTTTTTATAAGGGAAAATCATTCTCTATTGCCTTCAAAAATATTAACGATTTTTCTTAATACTATTTAATAGTAATTTACTCAGTATCTCAGTACCTCTTTATGTGTACGCTTAGTTATCACAATAACCCTGTGGCATAAGTATTATTGTCTTCAACTTATGGATGAAACTTAAGTAAATATTCATAGTTTCCAAATAACTTTGCATGAATAATTTTTAAAAAGATAACAATAAGACATCACTCAGGTCTAGAGAGATAATTCCCCCAGAGTTTTTGGGATAAGTATAAAGACTGTGTCATGGGTCTCAGGTTGATGAAAAAATGAAAAGACAGAATAAAGATATTTGATTTCAGTATGACTAAGAAATGACATGAAAATTTCATTTACTCTCCAGATATAGCTGTAACTGCACAGGTAGTGGATTCACAGGGACACATTGTGAGACCTTGATGCCTCTTTGTTGGTCAAAACCTTGTCACCATAATGCTACCTGTGAGGACAGTGTTGACAATTACATTTGTCACTGCTGGCCTGGTAAGTGACAAAATACCTTCCACCAGTTTTTTTTTTTTTTTTTCTCTTAGCATAGAAAAAAATGCCTATGAAATGAAACTAAAAATTGTTGTTGTTAAATGTTGTAAGTGAAATTTTTCTTCTAGTTTTATTCTTCAGGGCTCATACATATTTACTGCTATACTACACATTATCCAAAGTGGGTGACTAAGTTATCCAAAGATTAGAACCCTCTAGAGGAAGCAGAGGGGGAAAAATCAATGGAAAGATTCAATTCAGCATAGTTTTCAGGGAGAAAGCTTCACTAGAAGATGATTTATTTTCTTTTAGGACTTTCTTTTAGACATCAGGAATATATAGGAACCTGTCAAACAATGTTAAAACACTAGAAGCTTGTTTTATACTGAATTGAATTAGTCAACCTCATAATGAACATGTGTCAGAAATTTCCTCAATCGCCATGTGACTTTGGACAAATTACTTAACTGATCTGAGCCTCAGTTTCCTCATTTTATAAAAATGGAGGTGCTGGTAATAATATCCACTTCATAGAGTTGTTTTGGAGAGAAATGCAGTAATGTATATAAAGCTCCTGTCTGAGCCTCTACCATAGAAGACACACAATAAATGTTAACTAGATAACAAAATTAGGTTCACCATTCTAGGTCCTATGGCTAGCACCTAGTGGTCCATTGCTTACTTAAGGAAAGAACAAAGAATGGAAGAAGGAAAGAAATATGAAAGAGTGTCACACACAGGAAAGAACATATTCAATTGTGGACTTTGAGTAATTGCTCACAATGTTGGCTTAGGGAGGGCTGGTGGTAAAGAAAAGCTGGGAATAAGGTTGAAGCCAGATGACAAAGCCACTTGCAAATCATGGGGCAGGGAAGTTACATAATCTGTTAATTTAAAAAGAGCCCTCTGGCAGCCTAGTGAAGTTGGTTGAAGGAAGTACAACTACAGGCCGGGAATTAGTGAGAGGACTGGGCAGGTGTTTAAACAGAGCTGAGTCTGTTTGCTAGAACAGAGAGCAGTGGTGAGGTGAAGATGAGGGACTGGGTGGGCAGGAAGTCATGCAGGAGGTTAAATGATGGACAGATTTAGGACAGTTCTGCCTTTGAGTTTCTCTTAGGTCACTTGCATGGATGGCAGTTTGGACTAGATAGACAATTCAGAACATCTTTGTACCCTATTCTCACTGCTGTGTATAAAGAAAAGATTGAGTACCACAAACTAATCTAAGAAAAGATCATTCCTTTGGATCATGAAACACTGCCACAGACTGCAATGGCAAGAATCTACTGTGATAATTACCTAGAGTCCTCATTTCAAAAGTAATTAATTATAAAAAGTGTCAGTCGCCTTAAATGCTTACCTTAGAAGTTTTCTTGATACCCAGATGTGATCAGATGTGTTAAAACAAACCAACCTAATATAGGAACCCTGGGGGCTTGATTTGGTATTAGATTGCTTCTTTGCACAGAGTTCTATCGAAAAACTTGTTTAAACTATTGAACGTAGTCTTGACTGAAGGAGTCTATTTATATCTGTGGTTAAGCAGAATAGAAAATAAAATCCCCACAGGGCCTCAGTGGTGGAGACAGGAATGGCAAAAGTATAAATCAGAAGCTTCTGAATGTTCAAGTTGGGAATGAGATAATGCATGAGCTGGAAAAGCAGAAAAGGATTTATGATGAGTCTAAATTACTTCCTAACCTGGCCTATGTACAGATCTTGAGTCTTAGAATGAAAAGGAAATTGAAAATAGTCCAAAATCCACTGAAGCACAACAAATAACAGTTTATAAAAACTTGCTGTGAAAATTATCATTTACTGAATATTTGTATATCCTTAAGTATGAAATCAATTATTTTGAAAGTAGACATTTAAATTTAAAAGATTCTGAGGACTCTTTAGCAGGAGCATCACAATAAGGGATTGTGAGATCATGATCTCACATGTTCTTTTAGTTTCTTTTCTCAACTATGTTTCTTCTTCAGATAGCTGAGAAAGGATCCCAGGGTCACATGTAACATATATATTATGCTGTTGAGCAATAGATTTATGTTGTGGTTATTATTTGACATATGACCCCATTCAGGTTTTTACTAAAGTTTCAAAATGAGCAATCCCATTAGCTTCTCATCATTTGCTTAATAGTAGTCCATTCTCTGGTTTATGTGGTAAACCAGAATTATAATCTAAATTCTTATTTTCAATGATTAATTGGTACTGTTTTATGCTTTTTCAGGCATCGGTTAAAATCCACTGTTTACATCTTGCTCAGCATTGGAAGAGTAAATAAAATAAGTACAGTCTCTGTTGTGGTAGAGTGTATAGTTGGTTGAGAAAGGCAGCCATATATACAAATAAATACATAACTAAAGATTATTAAAGGAGCAATAAAAGGATTTAGTGATATGAAAGAAAACAGAGGAGCTTATTTAGATCTGTCCATGAGGGCAAGTTATTCTGAGAAAGTAATACAAGACAAAGTCTGAAAATTGGGTAAGAGTTGGCCACACAAAGGCTTGGAGAAGAATTTTCTAGAGGAGAGAAGAATACCGTTATGAAGGCCATAGGGTAGAAGACATTCCCTGGGAGGAAGGAGGAGAATGGGATTAGGTAGAAATATTGAAATGGAAAGGGTTCAGGTAATAAGTGCATTCTTAGGTCATAGTAAGTTTTTTGATTTTATCCTATGTGAAATGGGAAGTCATTGTTTAATTTTAAAGTAAAAAAAATACTATAACTTATAAATTTTATAATTTTTAATTATAAATTTTGTTTTAAAATCATATTTCTCAGCAGACTTAAGTGACATTATAGAGGCTTTTAGGTGTATGGTAGGTTTAATTATATTCCTTTAAGAACTTTATACAGCTGTCTTGCAAAATAGCTGATATTATTTTATTATCCATCAGCATTATATTAGCATTCCAGTAAATTTTTATTTGGGAAATAGCACTACACATAACATATAAGTACTTTAAAATCAATAAGAAAACCAGCCTAAAAATTAGGAAAAAGATATATAATGTTACTTGAGTCAATAAACAACCAAAAAAATGTTAAATTCAATAGTAATTGAGAAAAATGTTAACTAAAGTAAGATATTATTTTTTGTCCAACTTACTAATGACAAATTTTATATTTGCTGATAACTAATGTTTCCAAGGGTTTGGAGTCCTATATGTATTCATCTACTTGCTAGTTGGTAACACGTAAGTGGTACAACTACTCTAGAAGCATTTGTCAATCTGTACTTAAATAAAATTGTACATAGCTTATGACCTAGAATTTCTGCTTTTAGGCCTAAACCCTAGAGTTTTGCTTAAACACTTACACATACGTCATATGTAATGATATTCATTGAAAAATTTTAATAGTAAAAACTGCATTAAAACCAATAAAAGGATGATTATGGCACATTCACGTTTTGGAGTAGTCGGAAATAGTTTAAAACTATGAGTTAGATCTCTCTTACTAACATGGATTCTGCAAGGGAATGAAAAAAGCAAGTTTCCGAGTATGGTACAATTTGAGCTTGGTTAAAACATACACACCCACACAATAGAACTATATATGTAATTTACTTTTCTTTCTCACTGAATATTAGGAAATAACTATTTACCCTACTTTTGAATTTTAAAATAATAATTTGGGGTTGGCTATGTGGATACTTCTGATTTTTAAGTAATTCTCTATACAATTTTTTTCTTGATAAAAACACATCAATTAGAATACTTGTTAAATTCAAGTAAATGAATGGTATTTTATTCATTTAATTAAATGTTCAGATTAAATCAAGATTACCCTGAAGTCCCATTTTATTTCAGGCTTTATTAATCAAATCTTTAAAAAAAAATTGGCCAAATTAAGCAAGTGATTCCATTGCTACTGATATTTATTTCCACGTAAACCTCCTCTTACCCGATTCCCCTGGCTAGCTCTTTGAGCACTGGCACCTTGCTAATTGGCGCCAGCACAGTGGTCAGCCTCTTTTCAGGCATATGCTCTATGATTTAAGAGCTTTGACTCAGCGGCTTCTCTGAACTTTCATCCTGCAGGATACACAGGTGCCCAGTGTGAGATGGACATCAACGAATGCGAGAGTAACCCCTGCCAGTCCGATGGGGAATGCATAGAGCTGTCCTCAGAGAAACAATATGGTCGTATTGCTGGGCTGCCTTCTTCATTCAGCTACCTTGAAGCCTCGGGCTACGTTTGTATCTGTCAGCCTGGATTCACAGGTGAGGCCAAGGAGACAGGAAATGACTTTCTTCACTTGATGGCAGACTATGGATTTAACCAAATGGTGTATTAGCAGTAAAACCTGTGCTACGTAAACTGTGTTGCCATGGTGCAAAGGGTCCCCCTTGTGGGCTTGAGAAGAATCTTGGCTCACATCTCATAATTCCTCTCTGCAGGAGGAAAATGTTAACTATAGGAACAGAAGAAGTGTATAAAAGGGTAAAAATTTTCATACACTTACTGGGAATTTCAGTATACCACAAATTATTTACCTTGAAAAGCAAAAGTATTGGTATATTTTGTTATTAATTTTCATGTTAAATTTTATGTGTTATTTGAATTTGCTAACAAAGTCACGGTACTTATTTCTACTTACATTGAGACCAATTATCTAGTTTCAAGTAATATTTTGCTACTATTCTATAGCTAAAGTCATTTTATACATCAAATTTAAATTTATGCTCTATCTTTATTTATTCTTACTGTAAAACCCAGAGGTTTCCAATGGACAATTGTGTTTGGGTCTGCTTAATGTTCTAAAAACTTTCAGAATTTTTGATACAGTCCCCAATTTGTTAATAAGCAGCAATTATCCACAATTGCATAGATATCGGTGAGAAAATAAATTATAATTTAGATTTTCACCTTATTTTTTTTTCTCAATAGGTTAGTGAAAGACACTTCAGGAAAATATTTTAGTTTTTATTGGGGATTTCTGAGAAAAGTAATAAGGGATAAGTGAAAATGGGTGGGTTACTCTATTTACACCTGGGATTTTCTTTTAATATTTCAGCTTTGAAGATTAATGAATTTGTTTTGCGGTAGTGTTTGTGTAAGGTTGCTGAAGAAAATATTTATTTGCTCATGTGCTGTCCTCTTTATGAGAACACATAGAAGAAGACCTCTCCAGTGTCAATATCAGGATAAGTGGTATTTTCCTTGCACATCTTTTACCTTACATTTTAAAGGCATGCAAACAAAATTTGATAAATGACAAACATGAAATAAATTTTGTAATGCATATTTCCCAATAATGTAGGCTGCTACAAATAACGATGATGTAGCCAGATGTCTAAACATGTTTTATAGAGACATAAATGTCTTTCTGTTATATATTTATCTCACCCCTAGGGATATTTCAATTTCCTGTTTCTGTTTCTTAATGTTGTCTCTCTTTTTTTTTCTTCTTTCTTTCCAAGTTATTTGATTTTGGTACAGTGTATGCATTTTTTTTTTTTAGTTAAATCTTTCTTGGAACAAGGTAGGGGTGACTATAATTTGTTTCTAAAATATTTGGTTTAGGTATAGAGAGGGGATTCTATCACAGCAGAGGATATGGTTAATATTGCCTTATCAGGTAAAAGGGCACAGATGACCGACAGATTCAAACAGAACAGGCAGTAGAATATGCTAGAAAAGTGTGTTGGACTTGATTTCTGAAGGGCTGCCAAAAATGATTAAATGAATTAAGAGGTTCTGATTGACCACATCTCTGTGGCTTAGTGAAATTGTTTATTTTCACACATGTGAACTCCAAAAAAATGGGTTCCTATCATCAGTTGCCTTCCAACGGTGATTCAGAGTCACAGCCTCTTCTCTTTTTTCCCTCCCTTTTCAAACTCAACTTCTGAATTTATTGTCGTCTTTTGCAGCAAGTTGCTGGAGAAGGAAGGAAAGTAGAATATGAAACCTGGAGGTTTTACGAGTGGAGCCCCATGAGTAATGGGACTCTTCTATCCACCTTCCACTGATTGAAATTTAGTCATACAACCACATTTTACTGTAGTGAAGACTGAAAAATCTAGTCTTACCTAAAATAAAGAGAAAACAAATTTCATGAACAAGAATTTCATGTATTGTTCATTCCATGAACTTCAGTTTGACACAAAAACTGAAAATGGCAGACTGGGGATACAAACATGAATCCTCTAAGTATTCTCCTACTTACTTACTATATAATGATATATATATTAATATGTTAATGATATGTATGTATCATTAATATGTATAGTAATATACATACACATAAAGGTATATATATATATATTCACACACTATATATGTACATAAACAACTATATATATATATATATATATATATATATATATATACTTATATATACTGCTAAATACATATAACTCTAATAGTTAAAACTGGTATGTATGTGTATATATACAGAATATATATACAATATATAAACGGTATGTATGTGCATATATGAATATGTATACATAAATATGTTTGAATATGTTTTTTTAATTAAACCATTTAAGTGATAATAGTAGATTTACATGAAGTAATAAGAAATATTACTTCATGTAAATAATACAGGGAATCCCATGTATAGTTCACCCAGTTTTCCCAATGGACTATTTTCCATTCTCATCAGCAATGTATTAGTGAGTGATCCAATTTATTCACATCCTCACTAACATTTGGTTATTATTTTTTTTTAAGTTTAAGACATTATGATAGATAGGCAGTGATATGCCATTGTGGTTTTAATTCGTGCCTAATAACTAGTATGTTGAACAACTTCTCCTGTATTTATTTGATCTGTTTATCTTTTATAGCAAAATATCTCTCCAATGTCTTTTGCCCCTTTCTAACTGGATTATTCTTTTTACTCTTGAGTCATTTTCCACACACTGACCCTAAGCATTTTTTGTTAAGTTTATACTAAATATACACTTTTATTTATTACTTTCTTTGGGGTGATTATAAATAATGTTGTGTTTTATTCAGTTTCTATATATTCCTTTGTTAGTGTTGGGGAGATAATCTCCTCTAGTGGTCTTTGATCTCTTTGACTCCCACTTAGCTGCATAGCAATGGGTCTTAAGCCTGTAATACTTCCTGGTGGAGAGAATTGTAATGCATTCCCCTGTGAGGTATGTGTGTGTATATATATGTATATATATATATATATATATATATATATATATATATGCTCTGCTGTTGTTGGGTGGAGTGTTCTATATTTGTTAACTACATTATGTTCTATATTTGTCAACTAGATTATCTACATGATCAGATCCTCTATGTTGGTGCTGATTTTTTTTTTTGTCAAATTTATGAGCATAATTTGGCTCACAGTGATGCCTTATTATCTTATAATAGCTATAGGATTTGTAGTGATTTCTCTAATTCATTCCTGATGTTGATGGTCTATATTGTCTCTCTCCATTTTTTGTAAGCTTATTAATTTCATTGATTTTTATTTTTAAAGAACAAGTTTATTGTTTCATTAATTTTTTTTCTGTTACCCAGTTTTCAATTTCATTGATTTTTGTTCCTTATTATTGCCTTCTTTCAGTTTGCTTCAGGTTTATTTTTCTTTTAGTTTTTTTTTTATTGCAAGGATTTAGCAGTATAAATTTAACTCAATATTGCTTTTGCTGCATCCCACATATTTTCACATGCCACACTTTAATTTTAATTTGGTTATATGTATTTTCAACATTGTCTTTGAGGCCTTTTCTTTGATCCATGTATTATTTAGCAATAGGGAACAGAAAGTATTATAATGTTTATTTTAATCATTATATATAGTTTAGAAAACTTATATTTTTACCTATATTTTTGTTCTCCCCATTGTTTTTTCTCTTTTTCCCATGTCATTGAGATTCTTCTTTTGTAATTTTCTGTTAAAAAACATTAGTAAAATTTAAGGATAGGTATGTTAGTGACAATTTCTTTTAGTTTCCTTAGTCTGAGATAATCTTTATTGCCTATTCATTCTTTCTTTTTGGGGGGACACTCAACCACTGTGCCACATCCCCAGCCCTATTTTGTATTTTATTTAGACACAGGGTCTCACTGAGTTGCTTAATGCCTCACGTTCTGAGGCTGGCTTTGAACTCTCACTCCTCCTGCCTCAGCCTCCCAAACCCCTGGGATTACAGGTGTGCACCACAGTGCCCGGCCCCTTCATTCTTGAAGGATAGTTAAATATAGAATTCATTATTGACTCTGTTTTTCTTTTAGAATTTGAAAAATCCACAGCACTTCTTTCTGTACCCCAAGGTTTGTAATGAGAAAACCTCTGCCATTGGAACTGGTGATCCTTACAAATGATACATTATTTCTTTCTGGCTAACTTCCTCTTTTATCTTTAGCATTTTTTCCCTTTTGTTCTTAATTTTCAGAAATTTACTTCTGATATATGTTGGTGTTTATTTATTTGCGCTTATTCTACTTGGGATTTACTCAGTAAAATTTTCTTTACTGTAAAAATTCAACTTCATGAGAGAAAAGGTTTATTTAGGCTCATGTTTTAGAGGTTCAGTTGATCACCTGGCACTGCTGCCTTTGGGTCTGGGTGAGGCAGTGCATTACGGCAGGGAGGGTGTTGCAGAGGAGGTTCCTCATCTTATTGTGGCTGGGAAGGAAACCAAGAGCAAAGAGGAGGGGCTGGAGTCCTAATGCCCCCTTCAAGAGCATGCTCCCAATTGCTTTCCTTCCTGTTGGCTCCACGGTATAAAGTTTCCACTCCCTCCTAATAGTTCTGTGGGCTGGTGACCACAGGTGTTTGAGGGACATTTATGCAAACCATAGCACTCAGCTTTTCAAATCTGTGAATTTGTGTCCTTTGCCAAACGGGGGAAATTTTTAGCTAATTTTCCTTCAACTATTAGCTCCACTCTCTTTTTCTTCCACTTTTAGGACTCTGTTCATACAAATTTAGGGTCTTTTTTTCCCATAGGTTTCTGAGGCTCTGATCATTTTTTTTCCCTCATATTTTTTCTCTCTGTTGCTTTTCTCTCTGTCCTCAAACTCACTGGTTCTTTCCTTTTTCATCTCCTCTCTATTATTAACCAATCCAGGAAGTTGTTTATTTTTTCTATTTTATTTTTCAATTCTATAATTTCCAATATTTTCTTTTAATAACGTCTATTTCTTTGCTGATATTTTCTATTTTTCTTTCTTCTCGAGAGATTTATAATTGCTTATTGAATCATTTTCATGATGCTTGCTATAAAATTCTTGTCAGATAATG